CAAGCAGCTTGAATGTAACAACTATAACTGCACTAAGGGAAAGTACTTCATCCAGAACACCTTCTCTGCCCCTCACCACACCAAGTGGGCATGTCCCTTCATGCAAAGCATGCTGGGAGCCTGCTCAGGATTTGAGGATCCAACCTTTGGCTACAACAGCACCATGCCTTGCGTCATCATTAAGATGAACAGGGTGCGATTAATTCATAAATATCCTCCGGGGCACTTTTGGAAAACTTGGATCTGCAGTCCATTAAAAAAATCACATTAAAAGAAATAATGATTAAAGGGTTAGGGTAAATGTTCTGTTTTGTCTCTGCAGATCATTGGGTTTTTGCCTTCTAATCACACTGACCTTCCCCCATATGTCAACTGCACTGTACTGGTAAGCAACGACTGCATTTACGGATTTTAACAGCCTGCATTAAACAAAATGAGTCTGACATTTTGCTAATTATTTTCAAGGGTACTCCGGTGATTTAGTATTGAACTGTCATAAAGTTGGAGGGCTTGCGAGAGACAATTTAAAGGAAGAATGATCTGAATCAATGCAACAGAAGCACAAATATGCTGACTTTCAGTCCCTGCATGGGCCAAGCTCCAAAAACACTGGATCCTGCATTTCCCATAATGCAACCCCTTTTTGATTAGATCCTTCTTACCCATGCTTTTCAAACTCAACAACCTCAGTTTGTAACAGACTTTCTGTTATAAATGGTCAGATTTCACAAAGGTCAGATTTCACAATTGTTTTCACAGGCTGAGGAGAATATGCCCCATGAAATTTCATGAAATTCTGTGTGTGTTTAGGAAGGAGAGGACAATGTGGCCAATGTCGAGTATTTTCCTGAGAGGGGACTTCTGGATCTCTCTTACTTCCCATATTACGGAAATCTGGCACAGGTGAGCAAAGAAATCATCCAAGCACTGAGCAACACTCTTGGCATCATTAAAACGTCCTAAAAAAAGTAAAGCTGGACTAGCAGCTGGGTAAAGCAAACAATGGTTCCATAATTACTGTGTGTCACTTGGTTTGTGTTAGGAATGACTAACTGCAAATTTGACAAATACTTTTTTAGCTGTTGTATAACCTCCTTAACCTCTTTGAAAAAAACACTTATTTGGTTTCTTGCAAAGAGTTAGATGAAATGATTGACATCAAATGGCAATGTGTATATGGAGGTATTAATGAGCACCTCTGACAGTAGAAATATATTCTACAGGTGTACAATTTTCATTGCATCAATTTACATATTGTAAATGTGCAAATTTTCAAATAGTTTGATATGGGTTTGTGAATGTGTTTTGCTCCATATTTACTGCAGCAACTGTAGCAAAAATGTGAGCATATGATTTTCTTAATTTGTGATTTGTAGAAAAGGATTTGCGTACCTGCAATATAGAATTTGAAAAGGTGAAATATTCTCAGTATTTGTTTTTGTGACTTCAAATGAACTGATACATGTGTTACTGTCACAGGAGCTAAGCTGTTTTGCTCCAATAATACCTTCATAAGTGCAGCAACTTTTTCCGCTGGTTGCTTTGCAACCTCACAAAAACCTGACAACAAGGCCTGACACATAACTTCATATGTAACCACAAAAAACTTGTAGAGGTTAAACAAACAAGATATAACGTTAATCTCCAAAATGTTAATTTCCAAAAGTGTTGAAGAATTCCTTTAGGTTTTTTCGACATGTCCATTGATAACAATAACCAACAGTCTGCCATGTCTACCACCTTTTCTTCAGCCTACCTACGTCAACCCGTTGGTGGCTGTTCGGTTCAGCCTGGTCAAAGAGAAGCACGCCAAGATCCAGTGCAGAGTGGTCTCCGACAAGATCAGCTACGAAAACTTCCATGACCCCTATGAGGGAAAAGTCATCTTCTACCTCAAAGCAGTGAAATGAGCAACAGAACAGAGCCTGAAGATTTCCTTTAGTCATGTAACAACTCACCTGTCAGTATCAAAGACAGAGCAGGTGTCTACAGATCATTTGTGATTATTACTTAACAACCTGTAAACCAACTTAACCGAACAGCGTAGGCCCACTTGTAAATCTCTGTGCTGTGTGGTGCTTTTGTTTAAACTTGATTTATCATGGTTTGAGTGATTCATGACCTTCTTTATCATGTGATTTGTAGGTTTAACCATGATATGTAATCTAAATCTATTGTTATCCATCTTAATATTGTTGTCTATTGTTATGTAACCCGGTGCACTCAAACAAACTTAACCTTTGTCTGCGTGTCTCCTCTCCTCTCCTCATACTCAAGAAAGAAAACACAAAACTCTGAGGATGTTGGACGGAAACAAACTACTAGATTCTTGTAAGGTCTTTCTAAATAAAAACTCATGACAGTTGAGTTTGGTCTCAAGTTATTCAAGTACAGTCTGTAGAGTATTTGTAAGAGGTTACCAGATAACCCCCCGCTAATAGGATGATAGTGGTGATGAGGTTTCCCACAAATATGCTGACTGCAGAGTTAGTGGGTTATCAGCTTACACACTATAGTTGTGCTTGCATGTGTGCACACACACACACACACACACACACACACACACACACACACACATTTCCTTGAAAGAGATTATTGTGCTGTGTGATAACTGCATATGATCAACCCATACTCAGGCAGGGATTTCCAGAGCTGAGGGGCTCAGACTGAAAAAGCCCGGTCAGCTCGGGCAACAAAGCGATAGATTAGAACAACAATTCCAAGTTAGGATTGTAGAGGAACTGACAGAGAAGGTGGGCTAAATTCTATTAATTTAGTTGCAGACAGTTCTGTTCAGTACAGCTCTTGAGGTCAGAAAGACAGATGAGACTGCTATATTTGCAGTCTCACCAGGTTTAGGGGGAACATACAGGTGTGTGTCATTGGTGTACAAATGAAAATCAATGTCAAATGTTTTTGAAATATGTGGTCCAGTGGCAGCATGTGAATAGAAAATAAAACAGCACCTAAAATTGACCCCTGAGGACAATGAGGTCCTCCCAATTTCATCAGTGTTGCTGGTGTCACGAAGGCAGGAGCTTAACCATTCAAAAGCTGCGTCCTTGATAACAACCCTAACGACCTTTCTGAACGATCAAGCAGGATTAAAATAAAACAGTAACCTGAGTCAGTGGAGAGCAGCATATCATTGTTCACTTTAATGAGTACCGTTTAAGTGCACTGAAAGGAACAAAAGCCAGATTGGAATTTTTCCAAACTACTATTAAATTATTGTGTATTGTTACTATTGTTTTTAAAAATATAAATGAATTATTAAAACTAAATAAATAATTAATGTTTTTTCAAAAAAATGTTTGATAAAAACTAAAACTTTAAATTATTTACAACTAATGGGTCAAGGGTGGACATTTTCAGCAAAGGCTGGACAACTGCACGCTTAGCACTTGGCGGAAAGTGGAAAGAGGATTTCATAGAGGCGACAGACCTATTGGTTCAATGTGAGTGAACAAAGCAACTGACTCAGGAGAGATGTAAATTTGTAGCCTGATCTCCTTTGGAGATGTGGAGTTAAGGGAGCGTTGTAGTGAAAGTGAGATTTGGAAGATTACAGTTTTATGGCTGGATGGAGGGAAATTCCAGAGAGCTTAGTGAAATGCCTGATGCATGGACCAGATCAAGGCTGTGACCTTTGGTTTGAGTCGGCCCACTGATAAACTGGACAAATTTAAAATTAAATTAATAATCATGGATATTAAAATCACAGAGGAAATTACCCAGCCATGATTCAGTAAGTCACTGTTGTTGGATCTTATTTACTACAGGATCTAACATTTCAAAGACAGAAGACAGTATTATTATTAGAATAACTTGATTCCTTTAGCAGGATTACATTGTTGGGATTGCTTTTGTTTATGAGTTTTACTGCAACAAAACCGGTTATGATCATTCGGCAGGTTCACCTACGGAAACCTTGTTACCTTGTTCGATTCTAAGAACAGAGTAAATACAAAGTAAAACGAAGAAAATGCTTCTTAACGTCTTATTTTTAATAAATAAATGACTTAATTCCACAATTTAAAAATGCATGAACATTTTCAAAACAGCATTTCTTTGTGCCTGGATGCATCAGTCATGGGTACCAATAATATGTACTTCCACTACACAAAGTGAAAAAAAATGACATACTGTAAGAAATTGTTTTAAATAATATTAAACATAAAACAAAATATAACATGTACATAGCTCATACATACGTACATTTACATTGCACAGTGTCTCTGTCACAGTGAGATCATACTTCACAAAGTCTTGCTTTTAGAGCAGAGCAGTGTTGAGCAGGCACATACGTTTGACATTCAATGGTAACTAGTGCAGGATCTTTAAATGTAACACCAGTAAATACATTCTGATGAGCATTTTCTGTTCTTATCTAAATATTTCCTTACCAATCATTTCTTACTTTTTACTGATCTGTATTGTACCAGAGTTTATTTTAATTTGATAAAAATGGAGAGCCTAAAAGGGAATGAATAAAGACAGTTAAAGTTATTGTAAAAGGAATATTTGCAGTTTTTAGGTAACACCATAACTGTTGTCATAGCTAGCTAAATTCACAGTAGAACAATGATTAGATAAACTACAAGTACCATCTATTAAATACAGCAGAGTAGAAGGTTTGCAATAACCTAAAAGTCAGAACTAGTAATGTGAGTTGATCAAACATAGGGAAAATGGAAGCCATTTTAAATTACACAAAACATTTTCCATATTAAAAAAAAAACCTTTACTCATACATGACAAAAAAACAAACAAAAAAAGATGCTAAACCCTCCGATTTGGTCCCTGTGATTGTTACAAGGAATAGAGAAACTGGGGTTAAACACCACTGATGAAAATCAAAAGAGAGGACCTCCAATGAACTTTTATTGGAAAACAAACTAATTTTTACAGAAGGTAGAGAGGGAAAGTACCTGTCTTTCTTCATAATGCATCACAATCAGGATATCCAGTACTTGTGCTTTTCCACTGTCAAGCAGGTGTGCTTCCTTAAAAATGTTTCTGTCAAGCCTTTAAGACACTCGATTTTTGCCAAAAGAGTAGAGTGGTCCGGCTTTGTTGCAATTTAATATAAAACAGAAACTGAAAACTGAAATAATTTTAGTATGTTATAAATTCAAACCTAACAGTGCCTATATGTAACACGGGTGACAAGCATAGATGGTCCAGGTCCACGCTCCTGAGTATGTAATGGGTGATACATAGCAGATGGCTTCATAACAATCTGAAGGAGAGTCAACATGTAACTGATGATGATTTTCTCTCCTCCCATAAAGCTGTGAACTGAGTCTCTTAAATCAAGATTTGGTCCAGCAGGCGTGCGTTAACATGAGCGTCTTTCTGATTGGTCAAATAAGGCTTAACTTCTGCTTCTCGTGATGCTGCTGCTGGCTTTGTAAAGGTTACAAGGGAGCCTTTTGTCCCTGAAGCCGGTCTGGTCATGTGACTATTTTGCGTTCGGCCCGAGGCACCCATTTGTGTGTGGTGACTCTCCACAGCACTGGTGCCAGTAGCAAACTGAGGGTGGTGACACTGAGGACCAGCAGATATACCTGAGCAGAGAGAGAGACATTAAACATAGATGGGATGAGAAAATCTAATAATTAGTTATTATTTTTATTTGCTAGTGTATTTGTACCACTCCTACTTCAAATGAGCACAATCACTGACACATACACTGTATCAATACTCTGAAATAATATATATGTGGAAGATATTTTATATATTTCTTCAATGTCTACTAGGGTCATAATATTTTATTAATTCTTATGTGTTATAGAATCATGACGTTTAGCCTTCAGACTTTAGTCCATGTGGACCCGACAAGGAGGTATAGTTACATTACATCAACGATAAATGAGAAAGACATTAACTGGAGCAGAATAAAACAGATAAAACAAATTCCAGTAGTGAATATAATATGGACTTGGGCTACCTGAGTCCCTTTTCTGTATAAAGAATAAAATAGCTGTCAAAACAAATACATTCAGTCATCACTGACCTCCCTGGAGATGATGCCAGCACGGCGTGCCCGGCTGCTCAAGACGAAGGAGAATTCGCTGACCTGAGCCAGACCAGCTGAGACAATCCACCGTATGTGTCGAGAGCCTGTGGGCAAGATCGCTGACAGCACCAGTACGGCCATCCCAAACTGGGAGAAAAAAAAAGAGGAGCAAAGTGGAGGGCGGTGTGACTGAGAGTGTGCAGATGAACTGGAGAGGGGAAAAAAGCACAACAGAGAAAAGCGCTGTACCTTCATAATGACGAGTGAGAGTGTAAGCACCAGCAGAATGGTGAGTTCATACAGCACGAACGTCGGGAACACGTGGAGACCTGCAGTGTCACATGAGCACACAAGATAAGTAAAGTCTCGCTGAGAAATGGTACAAAAGTTAAACATGATGATAAAGCTGACATCTGTCAGAAATTGTCTCGTCAAATCTGACCAATGGAGGCGAAGAAGATGATGGCGAGGAAATCTCTGATTGGCTCAATGCACCCCATGACCTCTGATGTTACCATGTGACCCTGTGTGGACAGCAAAGCTCCAGCCAGGAAACAGCCCAGCTCCATAGAAACATCCAAAGTCTCTGTCACCTACAGTGTCAGTCGACAAAGAGAAAAATCAGCTTCTTCACAGCAGGTTAAATAATACCGCGCTGGAAGAGAAATGCAGGAAAGCACAGAATAAAAGACACAAGACAGCTCTTCTTCTAAGAATAAATGATTAAAGGAAAAGTGCATACCGTCAACATGAAAAAGACAAAAGCTGCCATCCCAAGCACCAGGATCTCCTTGTTGCCTTTGCTCTCAGCATGTAGCTTCTTGTAAAAAGGGGCGATCAGGGAAGACTTAAGCAAAAAACACAGCAGCAGCACAGCAGCCAGAGAGACCAAGACCTGGACCAGGAGGTACAACACGTGGAGACTTCCAAACAGAAAGCTGTTTTTCACAAAGGGAACAACAGATTTAAATAAACTGTGTGTGTGTGTGTGTGTTTGGACGGGTTGGGAAAGGACACGTGCAACAACAAAAGAAGGCTAACTGACCTGTCCAAGTCTCCGCTCTGTGCCTGGATCAGAGTCGGCATGACAGCGATGAAGAGACCGAGCTGAACGTCTTGCATCACTAACATCCCCAGGAGAACGCTGCTGTAGTCCAGATCACCTCCTTTCTCAAAAACACACACACACACACACACACACACACACAAAATACAATTAAAAAATTCATATCAGTTTATAATTATCACGATAAATGCCAAATCATTATTTCTTTCAAGGCAGATTTTTGCTCCTGAGTAAAAGTTGAAGAAACCAGATGGTTAGTTGTGGTTTTAAACTATTGTTTATGGTCAGAACTTGCCAAACACTTGCCAAACAGTGGATCACTTAACTAATCTGAGGTAGAACATTCAAAACAATTACAATAAAATCTTTTCTCAACAGAAATGCTTGAGTAAAATTAAGTAAAATACAAATACAAAATATATATCTTCATAGAAAAATTAAGTGCTTATTCGTTCATGATTCAAATTAATTAAATCGAGTATTTATGGAACAACAGGAAAAATATTGCGATAATTATCATTATTGATTTATTGCCCAGCATTGAGTGCGTCACAGCATGAGGTGTTATTGATGCCAACTGCTCTACTTTACTTTTAATTCAAGGGCTGCATACTTTTTTATTTTTACAGTGCTCATCTCTTCTTCAAATCCTTCAGTATTTCAGCTCATTGGATGATCCCATATGCCTACTGAGCAAAATTGATCGAAAGTGAAATATTCATTGTTTAGATCTGCTTTAAGAATATGACCTACTGTGAGACTGAATGTGAAATACATACGTGCCACATTATTACCAACACAGCATTCAAAAGATGTGTCCCCTTGTTTTGAAAAATACACACGTTTCAGTTTGATTCACCTTTACCTAATTTAGCTGACACTATGAAGCACGTTTGTGTACATTTATGCGCACGGACATACCTACATACCTTCTTTGTCTCCTCTGCCACCCCCTGCCAGGAAGCGGGACACCAGCGGAGTGCTGGACAGGGAGAGACAAGTGGAAATGAAGACAGTCTGTGTGGGTCGAATGCGCAGGACTTGTCCCCACAACAAGCCGGCCCCCACCATCAGCAGACTCAGGTAGCACGACCCCTGAACTGATATCTTCCATACCTAAACATACACAGTATGTGTGACACTGTTATCAATCCACTTTATGGAAATGGGCAACTAACTCAAAGCAGCTAAATTTGAAACAGAAATAAGTTTATAACAGGTGATTTTTCATGTATCCTTAACTTAACTATACAGATATTGGCCAATTTCAAGGGAAAGTAAAATCTGAAAAAGTTAGCAGGGAGTGCAGATACTGAGAAAAGAAGTGATAGGTAGCAGGAATACCAATTAAGTCACTCTATGCAATTTAAAGTTAACATGTTCAAAATACAAACACCACAAAAAGCTCAAAGTTCAATTTAAAATTCAATGTAATTTTAAAAAGAAAGTTTAAACTTACAAGCAGGTGGTTATTTACTCATTTTTGTATCGGGTATTTGCTTAATAAAAGGTAGTACTTCCAATCTCTACACAGCCATAATGTGTGTATTAGCATTATTTCACGCAGTCTAACTATTAAAGTCTGAGATCATTTCAAGATGTTTGCCCACAAACGCAACATTGGGTTCTGACAGGTGGGAGATCGACCATCTGGTGACCTGGGGCAGCCAGAACAGTCTGGAGCTCAACGCTCTGACAGTGGAGATGGTCGTGGACTTCAGAAATAGCCCAGCCCCACCCTCCCCCATCATCCTGTGTGACTCCCCAGTCACCGCTGTGGACTCCTTCCGTTTCCTGGGCACCATCATCTCCCAGGACCTCAAGTGGGAGCTGAACCTCACCTCCCTCACCAAGAAGGCCCAGCAGAGGATGTACTTCCTGCGGCAGCTGAAGAAGTTCAGCCTGCCAGAGACAATGATGGTGCACTTCTACACCGCCATCATTGAGTCCATCCTCTCCTCCTCCATCACCATCTGGTACACTGCTGCCACTGCCAGGGACAAGGGCAGGCTGCAGCGCATGATTTGCTCTGCAGAGAAGGTGATTGGCTGCAATCTTCCTTCTCTTCTGGACCTGTCCGCCTCAAGGACTCTGAGGCGAGCAGGAAAGATTGCAGCTGACCCCTCCCACCCTGGACACAAACTGTTTCAAACTCTCCCCTCTGGCTGCGGTCCGTCAGGACCAAAACCTCTTGCCATAAAAACAGTTTCTTCCTGTCTGCAACCAGCCTCATTAACAAGGCCCAGGTCTCCCACTGACACTCCCCGCTTGCAAACGATATAAATGTCACCTGCACATGTAAATACCGTTTCATCTCGTGTCGGCCACAGACCTGGCACATCGCACATATTTTTTATTATTTATGTTGACTATATGTTTGTCTACGTGTAGCACCTTATCACCACAGCAAATTCCTCGTATGTATAAAACACTACTTGGCAATAAAGCTCCTGCAAGCGCGACTTGTTATGTAAAAACAACCTTTGATGAAAATGGAAATTATTATAAAAAAAAATTCTGAAATTCAACCCCCCCTTTGTTTACCTTCCGAACGCGCTCAGGTGAGAACTCCAGTCCCACCACAAAGAGAGTGAAGAACACACCCAGCTCCCCCAGAGTCTCCACCTGGACCATAGACTGCAAGACACAGAGATACACACTGACATGAACAACTAGCACAAACAGAAAATTAAGAATTGTTATTGTCGGTTAAGTCTGACCTGACGCTGCAAACACACACACACACCTTGATGCTGTTGAGGCCAGAAGGACCGAGTAGGACCCCGCAGATAATATACCCAAACATGGGAGGAAGACCGACCAGAGAGCAAATCCAACCACAGGGCAAAGACAACATCACCACAGACACCAGGTCCTGCACATTCATGTTACAAAAAAAGTTAATATATTAATAATTCATTAATTAACATTGCAAACTGCCATTCTCTAAGCATTATGAGAATTCAAAACAAACGAATACTTCTTATGTAGCCTGGATAAAATAAGATTGTACTGAGCAGGAAGAATAAACTGACCTTGATGAAGTGATGATCCGCTCTTGGCATTGTGGAGTCTCGTGGTTTGGTCAGGACATACTGGTTGTTCTGCGAATCAATGAGCATGCTCAGTCCCAGGTCATCCTCCACTTCCTTCTGCCGGGACTTGTTCTTCCTCTTCCCTCCGTTCTCCTCATCATCCTCCACTCTCAACACTGCCTCAACATTTACTCCTTTCATCTACACAGCAGTGAGCATTGGAAGGAGGCACATTTTACTAGTTACCCTGCATTGTGCAATGACTGCTTCAGTTTTTGAGTTGCTATCATGACCGTCTATCTCCATGGGTCTGAAACACATTAAGTAACCAAGGTCTCTGAATGCATTTGTTTGCTGACCTGTTTGTTGTTGTCAAAGGCGTGCTCCTCGATCTCCTCTTCTAGCCTGTCTGCTGCCTTCCTGACGTCCTCCAGGATCTCATCCAGCATGGACAGAGTCTTATTCTGGGCCAAAGCGCTCTTAACAGCTTCCTGCTGGTGCTTCTCGGCAGCCACCAGCTCCACATACTCCTGTTCTTCCTGAAGGGTGAGAACAAAACCCAGCAGAAAGATTAAACAGGTTACTCAGACAAGTTCACAGATATACGCATATACTCAGACTAAATAAACTCATAGGACATATAGCATATGCATTATTACATTATATTAAACATGACATTACTCTGTCTTTGACATATGGGTAGTCAAAATGGTCCCAATAAATTTCATAATATTCATCTGATATTATCATTTAGAACAATACGACAAATGGGTCATAAAATCACACAAAATCAAACTTCAATTACTTATTTTGATTGTTTTTAATGACTTGAAATGTCCTTAAGTCCTTCATTTGGACAACAACATCTTGCATAATGATACTGCGATATGATCATGTCTAGAGCTGAAATAATAATCCAATTACTTGATTGACAGATTATGAATCAACAATTTTTGATAACTGACTCGTATTACAGTTAATCAAGCAAAAAATGGCAAATGTTTTTCTTTTATGTGTTTTATATTGTCTTATATTGACTATCTTTGAGTTTTAGAATGTTGCTCAGACAAAACATGACATTTCTGAACATGTCACTTTGGCCTGCTAGAACGTGATGGGCATTTTCACTATTTTTTGACAATTTATAGACTCAACAATTCATCAATTAACTGGGAAAAGAGTATTTAATTAATAAATTAATAATGAAATCGGAAACCACTCATGAAAGCATTTGTAGACATGTTACTCTGCTTCATATCAGAATCTTATTTAAGACTCACTGAACACAGTATCAGTCCCCATCTCCTGCACCCTGATGTAGTCTCCATGAAACATGGGGCCCTCACCTTTATGGCTGCCTCCCTGAGGGCCTCCAGCCTCTGCCTGCTGCTCTCCTTCATGTTGACCACGTCTCTGTAGTCTCCCTGTAGCGCCCTCTGCAGGCCATGCACCGCCTGGAACACCAGGTGCTCGCTTTCGTTCAGCTCCTTCTGGAAAACCTCCAGAGTGTGAACCTGAATGCAGACAGGGAAACACCAGTCAGATATTAAACTGTAAAATATCTGACATCCCCATTTACTGAAGCTGCTGGATACAGTCTTTATTTTGAAACACTTGGCGAGAGCAATTTACATGTCTTCATCGGAGATCATTACATTAAGAAGATGTCAAAAGACGGACTCTCTGAAAACTGTAACAGGCATTTTTAACTATTCTCTGACAATTAGTAGACAACAAATTTAACTGATTGATTTAAAAAATAACTTACTGATGCATATTGAAGATAACAGCTTCAATATAACAAGGTCATCTCCTCTGTACATGCGAAACCTGAACTGTGAGTATGAAATATGAGCATGCATTATTGTTGAGCTATTCTGCCAACAGGAGTGTGTCAAAACAAAGACACCAACCACCCTGAAGAGTTACCGACATTAATCACACTCCGTAAAACTTCAGTTGAAAGCAGCGTCCCAATTACACGCCTGTTCCTTTTACTGGCGTGGTGTGGCTACACGTTTTGACAAATAAATGCAGATCTCAATCAGACACCTGGTCTGGCTTTCATATAAGTTCTGTGTATGTCTAAAACCTCTTAAAACCCAATGGGTCGCCCGCTTGAGTTAGTTCTAGGCCGGTTAGATTGTTCACACAAATATAAAAATTAAATCTTGTGTCAATGTGGACCTGCTACACGTCAAAGATTCTCCACAATTCAATCTTTCAGTTCATTTTACAGGAATCATGAGCACCAAAGCATACTTCATTCAGATTTACTGGCATGATATGGTAAAAAAGAGAGATGAATAAATGTCACTCTCTCTCTATGCATGAGGTCAGTCTAGATGCGTCTCTTTGAGCTAGATCAATGAATGATTCGTAATTTATAGGTTATTCAATAGCCAAATTTTTATTAAGTAAGTAATTAGACAATTAACAAGATTTCATGGGAAAGGAATTAAAGATCTGTTCCAAATATAGGAAAAGTGAGTTCAGTGATTGAAGCAAATAAAAGTCCGGACTATTAATTAAAGTTTTCCAGTAGTCACTAACATATCACCATATTATGATCCAAATAAAAGGGCCTTTGCTTCATCTAGTATTTATTCTCAGTCTGGTACCTGGAAGCGCCTCTCAGGTTCTGAAAGGGCCCGGTCTCGTCCAACAGCATCTGCAGCGGCTGCCAGCTTCTTGACAACCACATTCTTCTGACGCAGGAGACCCACCAGCCACTTGCAGTTGCTGGCCACCCAGCTTTGGCCGTGTGTGACCCCCTGCTTGCTCCGATAAAGCTTGATGACGTGCTGGGCAACCTGATCCTTCTGCAGCACAGCGAGTGCCCCCGCCGTGCCGAGGCACATCAGCCAGCATACAACCTGCATCCAAACCCCTACTTTTGTCTTCACCCGAGGGTGGAGATTGATAAAGAGAATGACACCTGGGAATGGAAAAAGAAATACCATATATATGAACTGTGTGTAGTGTCGAAGTCAGGAGAGTTTAAAGTGAAAGTGAAAAAAAAACAACAATGATTTTATCCTACTAATAAGTATTATCTGTGTATCCAAAGCCTGTTATATATTTTTCCTTTGTACCATAGACAGTAAAACCGGAGAAACACACAGGGTGAGTTGATGCCCTAAACATTCACAACTCACCACAGCTAAAAAAATAGGTCCTAATAAATACACAATTTACTCCTGTTTGAGTGATCTTTGCTCAAATCTATAGAGCCCTGCTGTTTGAGGGAATTAATTTAGCCTTTAAGTATATATTTGTGACTTGTTTTTAAAGATCTATATATTCAATAACACAGATAGTGGCTACAATTTGATAAAGATAATCTATTTTTATGTGGGCTACTCTACTTTTTTGCACTCTGTTCTTCTTCCTAGAGCCATCTTAAGAGACGGTTTAATAGTTGGGTCACAGCTGAAAAGCATAGGCAACAGCTGTACACACCTGTGCCCTTTCCTAGTGGCTGCTTTCAGTAGCTAATAACACCTTGTATCCCTCGTGATGTGTTAAATGCACTTGATGTGACTGAGCAAATCAAATATATAAATCCTGCTTGCTATTCTGCTTGAACCTAATGTGACGATGCATTTCTTTCTACTCTTGGAATACAAAAGTCTAAGAACTGTGCTAATTTAAGAAACTGCTTTACTGTCAACAGCCTGCCCTCCCTTGCCCTGGCATCAAATTAATTTCTTACTACACCAGCATAATGAGTGAATGCATTCAACTCACACCCAAGCTGGGCCGCACCTTCCTGGGCATGAGTCAAGCAGAGGGATGTTTACTTTCCAGACTCCTCCTCAGTCCTTCTTCCTACTGACTGCGCACTACATCCACTCTGTTGGATTAATCTATAACAATGTGTCATATTTCATAAGCTGATCATCACACTGGTTAGTATGTAGAAACATCATCTAATAATTATGAGTAACTATAGTTGTTAAGTGAATGCAGTGGTGTAAAAAGTATAATATAATGTCAAGTTCTCAAAACTGCAATTAAATGCAGTACTTGGGTAAATTGGCCTGCACCTAAGTTTTGACTGGTTGTCATTATTTGGTTACCTAACACTTGGAGCCTTATTCTGTACTGAGGATGCATGTACATATTTAAACTGTATATACAAACAGCTGAATACCCAACATGTACATGTAATGTAAACAGGAAAATAAATCATGCCATCCCTAGAATGAAAAATCAAAAAACAAACAAAAAACTGTGACAGCCAAGAGTAACATCATACAGAGCTGAAAGCACACCCACAGACACGAATGATGTTTCAGACACACCAGGAAACAACCATGGGCATTGAAATCATGAATTTGTTCAACGTGCATACCACTGGAAAACAGATAAATAAAGGACTAACATACCTGCGAAATGTTTGCACTGCCCTGGCTCTCAAATACACTCCACGAATGACGGAGAAGCTGAAGAAGGGAACAATCATGCTGTTGTGCCGCACCACCACCGACACCCCTCCTCCCCTGCCACATAGCTGAAGCCAGCGTCGATGCAGGCGTTTACCAGTTTAACTCGGCGACCAACTTCATGTTTACCTCGACCTCCAGCTGTCGGTAACATTAGTCGTGCTAGCAAATGGGATGCTAACGTTACTTCGTCCAGGTTTGCACGGCTGCTGTTGGTGACCTCCCTATTGAAGTTGGACCAGTTTTAGTGTGTTATTCAACCTGATTTCCATTCTGGAGATGTAAGTAAAGCTAAGTTCAAATTCCTAAGAGCTGTCAGACCAGCTCCAGCCACACACACACTCCCATGACACAACGTTTAAAGCTAATACAACTTTGCTAACAGTAGCTGTCGTGTTACGTCAAGAACAGCAACTTTTCTGGATACAGCTCATTTAAGACACCATACAACGGTGACATGAACTGCAGCTAAAATTGAACAACTGCTGCATTGTTGTGAAATCGCGTCCATGTAACTTCGATCCATTTTTAGATTACTTCCGAAACATCTTCATCAGCTTTGATATGGGAGTTGTAGTTTTCAGATGTCGTGTTTTCGACCGTGTCAAGTGCTCTCAGACTGTGACAGCTGTTGCCTGGTTAAATCTGCTTTGATTTGATGCTGACGGTTGCTCAACATTATACAATTTCGATTAAAAAACAAAACAACGCATCATAAAAAAAGTTCAAAGCTGAGTGTCTTCCTTTTTACAGACCGGTTGATACAAAGTTATAATGTGACCTTTTTCTTTAAATGTATTTCAGCATAAGCACTTAAAGAACAAACCAAATACTTTGCCTAAACAGTTGTCTGTTAATGCAGAAAGCTATTAAACTAAAGGTATTCAAAACACAGGGCCTGCGGGATTACGGCGCTGCAGAACTACATTTCCCGTTAATCCAGTGCCCCGACTGTAGCGCAGTTTTGTCGCGCATGCGCACCGGTGGTAATTGGATATCAAGTGGGCCGAAACAGCGTGTGATAAAATGGTAGGTAAGATTAAAAATGAGAAACCGGGGCAATAATTGAGCTCCGTTAAACAAGTCAAAACGGCTGTCATTGACGTTAAGGGAACACCCCGAGATGGGGAATCGGGTTGTCCTCAGCCAAGTGTCGCATTGTCAGAGTGTTGTGTGTCGGGAATATGAGGGAAATGGAAGGTCAGTTGTTGGTATTTTGAGATCGGACCATCGGACAACCGCACTTGCGGCACGTACCTTTCCCTTTTTGGTAACTCGCCTATGTCGCTGCCCCGGGTCAGGAGAGAGCCTGCAGGATCAAACGTCCCCTCCCTAGAAAAGTGGGTCGCCAAACACTGGCCTGTCACGTTGAATTTACTGTTTGATCATCGGGTGGGTCAGGTCTGCAGCTCTGTAAAGACGTGCAATCCTCCCGATGGCCGTGTAGATTAAATTAACACAAGGAGGTATTTTTTGGAAACTAACGGGACCTTGCTTCTGGAAGTGACACTGTTTTCGTTTCCATTATAATGCACTTAAACTAATATATATACGCTGTTGCACGCATGGCATGTGTGTCTATTTTAATTGTATGCGCGCATACTAGATATTATAGTCATGGCACGTGTTATTTACATTCAATCCAACAATATTTGTATTCAGATTAAGTATAGGAACTAGTTTCCGTTCAGGAGGTTTTCATGGAAATCAAACGCTAGCACTCTTATTTAAATGTTCAAAATTTGGTTGTGTGTTGTATGTGTAAATGTTGATGTGCAGCCTCAACTCCACATTCATGTTTCTGCATCCCATTTACCCAAGGCTGGAATACCAGCAGGGCAAAACGGGCTCCTGTCCCAGAGCCCAAGACCCTCAGAAGTCCTGAAGGCCCCAGGTTGTGTTTATAGCAAATAGTTTGTGATAATTGGATAGATTTGAAAGGTAATATGCACCACCAAAGCAAGGGAGGGAGTTTATTCCAGCCCCTACCTTTACCTGTGTGCGCGCTTGTCTTACAGCACAAGTTGAAGTCATCGCAGAAGGACAAGGTTCGGCAGTTCATGTCCTTCACACAGGCCGGGGAGAGGACAGCCGTGTACTGCCTGACGCAGAATGACTGGAAACTAGAAGTCGCCACAGACAACTACTTCCAGAATCCAGATCTCTACTACAAAGAATCCATGAAAACCTCAGTGGACCGCAAGAAGCTGGAACAGCTCTACAACAGATACAAAGGCAAGTGACTTCAAGTTTCAAAATGTTAATATCAGCAAGCAGTCTGCTTGTTTTGTTGTTTGTTTTTCTGTTACACTTTGGCACCGTTTTGCTCATTCTTTCAGCTGTCTTTGCAGACCCCCAGGATGAGAATAAGATAGGCATTGATGGGATCCAGCAGTTCTGTGATGACTTGACCTTGGACCCAGCTAGCATGAGCATACTTGTGGTGGCATGGAAGTTCAGAGCGGCCACACAGTGCGAGTTCAGCAGGAAAGAGTTCCTAGATGGCATGGCTGAGCTGGGGTGAGCAACACTGATACAATAGTTGATCAAGAGATGCTACTGCATACATTAATAATATGTTTATTAAGTTGTGATTTTTAACAGTAAAAGTTGTATGCAATACTGTGTAACCTCAGCCTTTACATTTAACCAGTATGTGTGTGCAGTTCATCACTACTCATAATAAAAGGCTGATCGGTTTGTTTTTAATGTCTCCTCTAGCTGTGACAGTCCTGAAAAACTCAAGGCAATCCTTCCCAGACTAGAGCAGGAGCTGAAAGACACAGGGAAGTTCAAAGACTTTTACCAGTTTACCTTCAATTTTGCCAAGAATCCCGGCCAGAAAGGTTTAGGTAAGCATGAAGACAAAACATAAAAAAAAAGTAAAGAAAAAGTAAAGCTCTTTTTTTCAAGGCTGTGGATCAGTTTAAACTGATTTTCACCTGGATTTATTTTATTTAAAAAGAGAGAAAAGAATGTAATAACAAAATACTGAGAAAATTCTATGTTGTGTCCTAGACCTAGAGATGGCTGTTGCTTACTGGAATCTAGTTCTCACAGGTCGCTTCAAGTTTTTGGATCTCTGGAACCGCTTCCTGCTGGTGAGAGACAATGCTTTTGTTCGATCGTTTTTTCACCTTGTTAATTATCTTCTGTCAGCATTATATAACAAAAACATATCAATACAATAATAATAAAGAATAATATATTCATAGCATAAATAGTATTCTCTGCATATTTGGCCATCTCAATTGCATACTGTGTATGAAGAAGCAAAACTACCACCTAACACCTTGCAGTAGTCGAGTACAACAAACAACAGCCTAAAAAACGACCATAAAGTACACATTTTTGTCAATGACAACTAAGTTTCACAAAGGTAGCATTTATTTCCAGGCTGTTAAATTCATTTTCAATGTACAGGGATTTCTAATATTGTCTAATATCAATATATCTAATATTACAGTGATTAACTCCCATTCCTGTTACTGTGCTGCATTCAGGAGCATCACAAGCGCTCAATTCCCAAGGACACATGGAACCTCCTTCTGGACTTCGGCAATATGATTGCTGATGACATGTCAAACTATGATGAAGAAGGTGAGACTATTAAAGACTTCAGTATAAAGGCTACACACAACACAGTCCATGCGTATACATTTAAGTGGTTAATTCCATGATGAAAGACGAACACTATCTGAGTGAGGTCTTAACAACTTGTGGTAAGGTGATCTGTATGTATGTTAGTCATGTGACAAACTGGTCCAGCATTTGACACTTACAGTTGGATTTAATTGCATCACATCAGTCAACTATCAGATATGTGTAGGCAAATGCAGCAGTTGATTTGCACTAAACGTCTTTACTCAAGCTGTTACATTAAATCTGGCAATTCACAGAACAGAACAGTAGTTCTGTATGCACATGAACATTATCTTTCTCATCTTTGCACACTTTCTGTGGGAGACTGGTGTTTTTGTTGCTTTAGGCACAGTGGAGATGTTGAACGCAGCTTTAAATTGTTTTCAATCTGTTTCTTTTATTATAAATTGTATGGCACACTTGGCAGAATGGAGAAGAGACTGGCTAAATTTAATGCCAGCAGGGGGCACCTGTGAATGTTTTGTCCCAACCACCACATCAATGGATCATTGCTTTGATGAATGTAGTCATTATAATAGATTACATTGAGATGTTACTAATATTCAGTGTTTTTTCTCTCCCCTCAGGAGCATGGCCTGTCCTCATAGATGACTTTGTGGAGTTTGCTCGGCCGATTGTCACGGGGACTAAGCGCAACATGACATAGTGTTTGTTCCTGGCTTCATGCAGCGGGTGGAGTTTGTGTTTTCTCCCAATTGTCTTTTTTGTTGTTTTTTTTTTGGATTGAGGATTTTTATACCACTGAGCCAAAAACAGACTACTTCTCAATAAGCCTGTCTGCAGATTGTCGTTCAGACAGTTCTTCCAACTGCATAAGATGCCTTCGCTGGGGAGTGACCTGGAACACCAGTTCAGAGAGGAAAGCAGGAAGGAAATCAACAGGAGAGAGAATATTTGTTTTGTTTTATGTTGTTGTTGTCTGCTGGAAAGGACAGACTTTGGAATTACAATATGGAAATGAGGGGTACCCTGAAACTCGTCACTCTTGGGCAAATCACCAATGGGTGTGGCTTCGAATTGCTGCTGTGGACTTGGCTCATTAACCTGCACCCTTGGCACAATGAGGAGGGACAGTTAACAGTGAACCTTCAGCACATGCAGAGGATTATAGGTGCAGTAGGATGTGGCCTCTTACCCTGTCAATAGTGAATGGAACAGTATGTTAAAATCTGCATGTTTTTGTCAGCTAGCGTGAAGCAGTGCCATGGACGATGAGGAGGGGGGAAAAAAGTGATCTACATTATTTACATTGAGATTGTGAATGTGTAGCTCTCTATCAATCACACAGAGCAGAGAGAAAGTGTGCTTGCTCATTGTGTGTGTGTGTGTGTGTGTGTGTGTGTGTGTGTGTGTTTGAGGTTGGGCGGGTTAAACATATCGCCTCTTTTACAATACAATGGTAAAATATTTTGATTTAGTTTTATTATTATTAGAAGTTAAGAAATTATGATTCACCTTGACAGAGTGACAATTGAAAAAGTTCAGATCCACGAGCATTGGACAGAGCAGCATGCTTTTTGAGCTCAGCACCAGCAGAATCTCTTTTGTTACAGTTGTAAAATACTGTACCGGTAGGAATAAGAATAGACTCAGCTTTAGAAGAACGAAAATATATATCTGAGAAAACTGGTAATGACATTTATAACCATGATTAGTAAGAAGCATTTAGGGTCCTAATTTTGAAAATGCTACTGCATTACACTATTGGTTAGCTTTAGTTTTGCAGCGTGTAACCTGTTGTACACAAAGAGAAACTGACTGGCACACTGACTGTTTTCTATTATCGATGATGACTTGTCAACCCTGCGAACTGCACTGATTTACACTTTTTCTGTTTACTGTATACAGCTACAGAGCTATTCAGTTTACATGACAGTAGGTTCACTTACATACTAGACTTTTTAAATTGAACATCTACATCCCGGCCAGGAGTATTTTGAACTGTTTGTTTACACTGTTTGAGATTTAGTCTGTTGCTTTTCACGGATTAGGAACTGTAGGCCAGTGGTGGCATGTTAAAGTAAAGGAAAAAAAAGACACTTTAACAACAATGCTTGTGCTGCCATCTAGGGGTGGCTGTGCAATAGAGCATTTCTCAATGTACCGTACTCCTAACACTCCATCACACCTGGATGCGGTCACAAGTATATAAGAACACCTAGCAAAGCCCAGCTGTGATGATGGATGAGGACTTGAGCCTTTTAATCCATAATGATCAGTGCAGCAGTGCTTTTAGTGTTACTCTTTAGGTGTAATGATAAACACTTAAAAAGTATGTATTTGCTTAATGCAGCCCCTTTCTCAGCTAAAGCGTGTGACAGAATAGAGCTCAGGTACCCGTCGTCCTCTCCCACTCACAGTGAGCAGCAGGCGGCTTCCTGTACTTGCATCAGTATTTGCCATGCTTTCTGTTCTAAACAGCAACCAACGATGCTGTCTTGTTCTGCCAATTGTCACCATGATTAATAATTTCTCTGTCCTCTCAACATCTAACTACAGGGGAAATAATTGCCTTTTGTTTTCCTTATGTTGACAAACTTGTGTTTAAGATCTGATATTTATGTAAACAGAAGTCTGTCAAACTACGTTGGTGTGCATGAAGAAGACTTTATGAAGTTGACTTTAAGAAGTTGAGGCACATCAGGATGGGAATGTTCTATGATTTCAGATTGAATGCAGAAGAGTGACAAAGAAACCAGCTTCATTCATGACTGTTAAATAGTCATTGTAGGAGCTGGTAAATGTATCATATTGTTCATCTTTGAACAATAAGTTACATATGTTTTTGGCAATGAAATATCCTAAATAAAGTGTTTTCTGACTGTGTTTTCTGACTGTGTTGCAACAGCGAGAAGGTGTGAAAGCGTTTCCCAGTTGATAGACGTAACGAATCATCTGTGGTTCAGGAGCAAGAAAATGGGCTACCTTTCAGTATTCAGTTTGATAATATGGTACATTTGGTACGTTTTTATTTGTCAAATGTGTGGTCAACTTGTTATGCAGATCATTCTTATCAAAGCAGTATTATTTTTGCCAGCAAGAAAACAGGTATTTATAGAACATTATGTTTTGTCCCAGAAGCATACCATACATTGTTTTCTTTAAGAAAGTTGTCAATAAAGCATGTTGTTTTTAACAGTCTTGTAAGAGACGTACTTCTGTCTACCAAGTACAGCAGTTAGTTCTGACATCAAATGTTTGTTACACCCTTTGATAATTCATTTGGATTGGGTAAAACTAAAATGATTATATGTTATATCACTAGAGGTTTTTATCCAAATCAAACACTTAATATCAGAGATATGAAAACTAAATAGCAGTAGTGAATGGAACAAAACAAATATTCCAAATTCCTGCTGAGAATCACTGCACTACTGTGTGTGTTTGACAGTGCATGTGAAATGTCAGCTTGGTAACAGTTGTCCCTTATCAGGTTGCATTCTTCCTGCATATCATCATCATCATTGGCTCTTCTGGTAATCCTGTGTCTACTGTTGAGTATGTTTACGCTACCTTCACCAACAGATACATGAAAAAATGAAGTGTCTAAATGGTCAGGAATAATAATAGATTTGTATAATCAGCATAACTCAAAAGGGTTCCAATCAAGGCATTAGGTGGAGATGATGATAAATGAACCTGAGAAAGAGGGGAAGCAGTGCACATAACTGGAGAGTAGATTAGCTCTTGTCGGGGCAGGATGATTCATAAAAAAGTTTAAAATAGTGAGGTAAGGATAGGAGAGGCAGGCTCACGGAGTGGGGGGGTGGGGGCATGAGCTGGGATGATGCTCCATTCTTACCCTCCTCCCATGGGGTGGGTGAGATGTCAACAAGGTCCAGCACCAGCTGACAAGCTTGCACTCCAGCCCAGCAGCACATTAGCATCTCTTCCAGTGCGTCCAGCCCCCATTACCACTCCACACCCATCCATCCAGCATATATACTTTGGGACTGTGGGGATTGCCTTTTTAGGAGACACCTGATCGCAGCTGAACTGAGCTGCTTATCGTCTATGTGTGCGTGCCCACCCTTGGTACAGAGAGCGCGTGTTTGTGTGTGAGACAACTGATGAGAAACTAGAACAGAGGGCGGAAAAGGTGGTAGAGCTGTAGTGGAGACAGCGGTCTGTGTTAGCTCCACATCAAGCAGAAATCTTCCCAAAGCTGGAGAGGCTGAGGTTCTTCAGGATGTTTTGGGGCATGAAAATTTGCTCTGTTCTGTGATTGCCTACAGCTGAAAGGACTTCAAATTTGGGCATTTGTTCCTGCCAGGAGCCATTTAAATCCTCGGAGAGGTGTGACAGCTTCATTCAAGACGAGGTCCTTTTGTTTTTTGTGATCAAGCAGAGCCCAGTATCATGGAGAAATTCAAGGCTGCCATGGTTCTGGGTGCAGTCGGTGATGCCTTGGGCTACAGAAAGGGCCGTTGGGAAGGCTGCACCTCAGGCAAGAAGATCCAAGAGGAGCTGGCTTCTCTGGGGGGACTAGGGGCCCAGAAACTGGCCCCTGATAACTGGCCCCTGAGTGATGCAACGCTGATGCACATGACAACAGCAGAAGCACTTGTAACGGGTATGTTTAGGATTGCTGAAAAGAAGAATAGGAACACGTATATAGCGGAAATCATAGCAAGACTACACACAAATAAGTTTTTCCCTTCCATTTTAAAGCTTAAATATCAAATCAAACACAAATCTTAACCAATTTACATCTAACTTCACTTAAAACCAAAACCTCTATCTGTTTAATAATATATAGACTGTCCAGCCGTGCTTTTGATCTTTCCACATTTAGAAGGACCAGAATAGCTTCTTCTATACAGTCAATGGAAGCTGCTAATCACTGACTGGCAGATCATCTTTTAATGACAAAACCCGCTGACATATCCTGATCCATCCTTGCAACCAGTCATGAAAGACAGAATCTTCATAGGAACCCTTATTACGAATGCCATCACTCAAATGTCATCTGAAGCCCTCCCAGGAGTTGCCAGGACAGAAAAGTCTAAAATAGACTACTTTGGAAAAGCTGATCCATGGCTCTCCTTTACTGAACAATAGCGGGTCAGACTCCATAATCTGCCAGTATCATGTTTGGCTGCAGATGCGGCTCAAAGCCGGTGACAGCGGTCCTGCAAAATGGTGATGACATCTTTTGAGATTAGTAAGCCGTATTTAGCCACAATGCCTGCGTACATGTACACACGCACACAAACACACACAGTGAGATAAAAACTTACAGAGTGGAATGAATGCTGTTAATGTCAGTATACAACATTATAATATGGTAGTTAATTAGTCTTTAAAGAGGCTTGTTGAATGTATTCTACATTCTTATCTAAAACAGAAAATAAATAACTTTAATTAAACCAGAAAAACAAGAATGACCCTCTTTATACATATTCATCGAAGAATTTGTCAGTGCATAGTCTGGCGACTACACACATACAGTCCAGTCAAGACGGTGAAAGTCCCTGTCTTTCATCAAAGTCCTAGACCACTAAATCGGAGGTGATGCTTCTTTGTCAACATAGGCTCTCTCTCCTTCACACGTACAGTACACACATAAACAAATTCTAGCAGGATGGCTGTGGGCTCTGCTTGAGGATCCCAGTTGACCTCATGGTGTGTGGAAGTGACTGCCCTCGCTCCGCAGGCATGCTGGTCCTAATCTGTGGTGTGGCGGGCTGAGGCTAAACTTAGCCCACCCAGGCACAACTCATCTCGCCTTGCATGCCAATGGTGAATGACACACAGTCACTGTGTGCGTGTGTGTGTCCAGATTACTGGTGTCTGGAGGACCTGTACCGGGAGCTGGTGCGTCTCTATGTTGAAGCCATGGTGTCTCTTCAGGGCAGAGCCCCCGATCCTGCCACAGTGGAGGGCTGTGTTCACCTCAAACCTCATAACTTCCTGCTTGCCTGGCATACACCTTTCAATGAAAAAGGCTAGTGGAGATTTTATATATTGGTTTTTGTCCACAATATACAGTAACTGCATTATATGAAAATATGTGTGTGGATGCGTGATACGTGTCTATGTCAAGGGTCTGGGTTCGGGGCGGCTGCCAAGGCCATGTGTGTGGGTATGAGATACTGGCAACCTGAGAGACTAGACACCCTGGTGGAGGTCAGCGTTGAGATTGGCAGAATGACCCACAACCACCCAACAGGTGACAATGTTGTTATATCAAAACAAATCTGGCAATTACAGGATAATTGCATTTTACCATAGTGACTTCTGTTGTCACTCCCGGTTTCAGGCTTCCTAGGCTCTCTGACAACGGCAGTGTTTGCCTCCTATGCGCTCCAGGGGAAACCTCTTGTGACTTGGGGCCGTGAGCTCATGAAGGTCATTCCGCGGGCTGAGGAGTACTGCAGGAAGACCATACGACACATGGCAGGTTAGATTGTGTTTCTGTCTGTGTTAGTGGACAAGAGGCCCGACATTTTACAGCTTTGTCGATTCGTTCAGGTCAAATGAAGCTTTTATGTAAAAACAACAAAAACAAAAAGATCACAACAAAAAGAGTGTTTGTCAGTAGACAGTATATATAATCATTTTTGGTATGTATGCCCATGTGTCTGAGAGAGCATGACTATCAGCTGATCCCAGTAATGTGTGTGATTATGCATCCCTATGCAGAGTATCAGGAAAACTGGTTCTACTTTGAGGCCAAGTGGCAGTTTTACCTGGAAGAGAGAGAGATAGAGAAGGAAGGACAGAACAAACCTTCGTTCCCTGATCACTATGACGCTGAGGAAAC